TACGTCCTTCAAATCCGACTTCTGCCCTGAACAAAACGCACCAGTGTGAGGTCGGCCTCTCCGCTTCCACCTCGCCCGACACCGGCCTGCAACATGCTGATCACGGCCTTTTCTTCCAAATGCTTTCTCCTTCCCTCGGCTTCCCTGACGCCAACAGCCTCTGGTTTCCCTTAGGACTCCTGTCCTGGCTTGTGGACGGACACTTGGGGCCCCAAGCCTTCATCTTACTCTCAGCGGTCGGGAATGAGGATGGAGCGTGGCGGAGGCATGGCACTTAAAAGCTTAACCCCACTGGAGTGACAGAACGGTGATTACCGAGGACCTTTTCCACAACCCGGGCTTTCCTTCCAGGCCTACACGTGCAAGCACCCGTTTAAAGATGGCGACACCATGTCGCGGATTCCAACTCCGAATACCACATTTACGATCCTCCCTCCAAACTTACTTTCTCCAGATTCTCTCAATAAACATCCCCCCGTTCATCCAGGTGCCTGACGCAGAGTCTCAGGCACTGATTCTTAACTCCTCCGCCACCACCTTCATCGTCCATCTCGAAATCATGAACTACTTACCTTCTCAGTATCTCTCAACTCCATCCTCTTTTTCCGCATTTCAAAGGCCAAAAGCCATTGTCATTGTTCATCTAAACCGAAAGGCCCTCGGCTGGTCTCTCTAACTCTGATCTTGGCCTCCACTCATTCTCCCCGGTGCGGCCAATGTGATCAAAAGTAAAAGCAAATCTGAACACATCACTCCAGGGCTTAAAAACCCCTTCATGGCTTTCCGATGACTTGTTATACTGCTGAAACTCCTTTTCATGGTCACAAGATTCCGACAATCTGCTCCCTACCTTCCAACCTCGCCCTGCACCCTACACTCCAAGCACACTCAACTCTCTCCAGTTCCTCGAACCTCCACGCTATGTGCCTGAGATCACAGTTGTACCCACCCTGCCCGGCTCGTCCTTACTCCCCCTTCCGGTCTTGAACACCCTTCCTCCTGGACGCCTTCCTCGGCTCCCAGAGCAGGTGCTTGCTTTTCCATATCCTGTATTCCCCCTAATGCAACATTCTTCGTGCTTTATTGTACTGTTTGTCTTGTCTGCCACTAAATCTCAAACACCTAGCCAATGCAACGCGTGTCATCAAAATTCAATAAGCTTTTGCAAACACGTGTGTATCTGCCTAGCTCGGCTCTGGCCCCGGCACCCACACATTTTAAAAACGAGAAGATGGGTGTTGCTCGGTGCCCGGTACCTGGTGCCTCATGTAATGCTGCTGGAATGCGTTGCCGTTTTTGAAGACCTTCAGGCAATACGGGCAGAGGAGATGCCGAGTGTCCTCGTGGATCATCCGGAAATGGACGTCCACCTCCGAGTAGAGCGAGGAGCGATACTGACACACCTGGGCCACAGAGGAGGGGAAATAAGCTCAGAGCGAAGCCAACAATGGAGGCCTCAAACGAGAGGTAGCAACAAAAAGGTTAAAAGGTGGAAAAAATTTTCCTAAATGCACAGAAATCAAATTATTTTTCTGCCTTTGTGATACAGGGCTATGTCTGTGAGGAGTTCTCTGTCCGTCTCCAAAGGGCTCGTTCTGGAGACAGACACTGCCTCGGTACTCGCGTGTGCACCTTTATGTTTTTCTCCTGCCTTGAAAATCCTGAAAACAGAACCTGTGTTTACTTTTTCTTCTCTATCCCCTGAGTGTTCCTAAAACTGAGTGTATCGAGTGTGCGGCAGGTATTCAGCAAGGGTCACTAGTGGGTTTTTTATATTTAGCCTTCGAGCAAAAGGGAACAAAGGCCGCACCTGGCAAACGTACGGCATCTCGCCAGGCTTATGAGTGTCCTTCATGTGCTGCAGGAAGAGCGGCGCTCTCGAACGCCCACTCGCAGATCTTGCACTTGGCTGGAAGAAGAAAAACAATGAATAAATCTGCCTGAAAACAAGACCACGGTCCTCCTGACTCATTGTATTTCCTGTGATTTCTGAATCTCCATTTTCAATAGTCTAGATATCATTAGGTCTTTTCTATCCTTTAAAACGGTTTCCACCTTAACATCTGTGTTGCTGATGCCAACTAACCTAGTCTCTAGCTCGACTTCTTACCGAAGCCCCATTCTGGACCCTGAACTTCTGAACTGGACATGCTATCATCACCTCTGGCTTAGAGAAGCACCCTCCTGCTTCCCATGGTTTCCCTTCTAACTGCCCCACCTCCTTCTGAGCTCAAAGCTTAGGTACTATCTGACTCCAGACCCATGTTCTGTCACCATTATTTCAAAACGCACTTAGGAATTGTCACTTCTCCATTCTCGCAGGCAAAAACGTAGAAGCCCACATGACTTCCTACTGCTAATCAGCCAACTTCCAATACCTCCTATTTCTCTAATAAATATAGTGTCTATTTTTTCATACCACTGACAAATGAATTCTTTCAAAATACTATTTTACGTCATTCCTCTGCTCAAAAATAGACAATAATTATCTCCTATGAATAATTCAACAAACATTTATTGACTATCTACTAAATGAGTATAAATAAGAATTTGTCCTCAAAAAACAATCACGAACATAAGTTTTTACCTTGTTATGAGTTATTGTGTTATTATAGTATTAACAAACTTGAGATAACTCAACTTTGTAACTGGCCATTTTGTGACGCTTATAAGGTTGCAATTCTGAATTTTTGGTAAAAATCTTAAATGCTACATATTTTGAATTACATAAGGAAAATAAAGATAATTATTTGGACTTTTTCTTATTGTCAGTGGAATTATTTTCAAGTTTTTGCAACTATGGAAATTGTAAATTTGAAGCTTTGAGCACTTGCTGGACAATGTCCAACCCCTGCCCCCGCCAAAAGATGAGTGAAGTTGAGGTAATTCCTTAAAGTAAAACATACGAAAAAACGAGAGGTTTTTCATTTGAGGTCCAGGTAAGAGGTCTCAGGAAATGCAGGTACCCTCTGAAATTATTTGCAGAAGAAAAAAATGTCTGTTTTTCTGAGAAGAGGAATCACGAGTTTTGTCCTTAGTCTCAAAGGGGTCTGCAACCTGTTCAGAACCACGGCCTAGAGGTACATGAGGTGCCACGAGGGCGTGGATGGAGAGAGAAAAACTCCTGCCTCGACGAATGAGGAGAAGCTGTGCATGTGTGAGCTGAGCCCTGAGAGGAACAGGGCTTTGCGGACAGAGGGGCCGAGAGCAGAAGAGCGAAGGCACGGAGGGGCGCTAGCGGGAAGTGTCTGGAACACGGCAACGCGGACATGACAGCCTTTCCTCCCGTTCTCCTCTCCTCTCCTCTCCTCTCCAGTCCCTTCGCTCATCTTCTTTAATCCGTTTTGTTCTTTTCTAGAACACATTTAAGCACTGGTGTCTTCCAACCTTCTGTCCGAGCCTTGCGTATTCTGCACGTTTTCCCTGGGCGATCTCATTCAACCTCAAAGGCTTTTCCTACAACCTATGTTATCAGCTCAGCTGTTACGACTGTCACACAACGTCAATGACAATTACATTTATCGGGCAATTTCTAACACACAAAGACCATGCTAGGAAATCGGTGAGATAGGAACCTAAGACGTCAGTGGACTTTCGAGATTTCTAGTAGCCTTTTGCATGTCCTCCAGGGGAGAAGCTGGCGGGAAAACTCCAGGGGAGAGCTGACTGATTTTCCGCAGTGGCTACCCTGACACGTGCTGGCCGTGGAGAATCCGGGGCCCGCCCTACACCAAGCTGGCTGCTCCGTCACTAACCGCAGGGTTATGACGGCTGATTCTGATGCCCTCTCTACTCCTACACGAGCAAGCCCGAGTTCCAAAGTCCACTGTCCAATATGACAACCGGCAGCACAGGTGGTCAGCAAACACCTAAAACGCGCTGAGCCCAAACTGAGATGTGCTGTGAGCGTATACCAGATTTCAAAAAAAATGTTTTAAAAAATTTATTTTTTAAATTTATGTACAATTGGTATACATTATATTAGTTTTGAGTGTATGATATAGTGATTCAACATTTATGTATCTTAAATGTGATTATCACACTAAGTCTAGCAATTATCTGTAACCACAAACTTATCTCAGCATTAAAAATCTGGTTTACAGTGTAAAAAAGATAAATATCTCATTAATTGTGTAACTTTGATTATAAGCTGAAATGATTATACTTTGGATGTGTTGAATTCAATAAAAACCATTAAAATCATTTCACTTTTTTACTTTATTTAAAATGGCTGCTGAAAAGTTGCAGGTAAAGCTGACACCGTATTTCCACTGACCAGAAGCAGGGTAAGCCGCTGGCGACAAGCCCACCCCTGCCAACATGACCCAGGCCAGGGAGGGACAAAGGGAACGCAAGTCCGTGTTGTAGGAAAGACTCGGGAAAGACGCGGGAGGATGCGGTCTCTGCTCCACCCGCACAGCTGCGACTGAATGCAACGCCCGAGACGAGACGACCACAGCCGCTGTCTACGAGCCAGGGACAGGGAGATGCTGAGCAGCAGAACACTCAGGTCCCGGGCCTGCTGGCCTCTCAGAGGACACGGTACATGTCCTTAGTGTTTCTAGTCAAGGTGTTTAACTTGCAGCGGAAGTACCGAGGTCACACACGTCTCTCCGGCCTTTATGCATTTGCTTGTGCTGTCACCTAAAAGCTTTTCGTACTTCTTCCCATCGATCACGACCCTTCTTGTATTTAAGACCCTCAAATCTAAGCACGACCTTCTGTGACATCTGGCCACAGGGGCCTCTTCCCGTCTCTGAACTATTTTATCTACTATTGGTATCACCAAAGCACATGATTGTAACATTCTGTGTTGTTCTCACATTTTCCTAGTTACACAGTTTTTGTCTCTTCAACAAAAAAAGAAATCCCTTGAAAGACACAGGAAATATTCTACAAGATTGGGCTCGAATTCTCATGATGTCACCTTACTAGAAGTGTATGCTCTTAAGCAGATGACTTAATTTTCCTGAGCTTGTGTTCAGCCTACATTCCCTCATCTGTACGCTGTACAATGCGGACGACAGTCCAACTCGTATTTCACTGAAGACACTGTCTCGACGGTAAAGCGCTTTACAATACCACGTTTTATTCTACATAAAGCCTATCGAGGGACTAACTGAAACAGATCTGAATACAGACGCTCCCGCTATAAAGGATTTAGGCAATACATTCCGCATATCTCTCCTCAGGGGTCCTGAACCTGAGCCCCTATTAATGCAGGATCCAGCACTGAATTCACACTGAACAGAACGGAAGTCAGGCTTGTAAGATAAGAGGGCGAGTGAAGTAAGGAACTGACATCAAACATGCCAAGAGCTGCTTTCACAGCGGTATCCACACACAGCAAACGCGCTGGCTCCCCTTGGAGCCACCGTGACAAAGAGCTGAGCATACCCTGGAGTTTAAGAGTTTCCCAACTTACTAGTCGATTCATAGGGACTATGAACATTTTCCAAGTGGCACTGGAGCTGGAAGGGAGTGGAAAACTGGCGATAGCAGTGCTGGCAGATGGTGTGACCATCCACCTCACCATTCTGCTGATCGAGTTCTACGTGGTGTTTCATATGGTTCATGAATCTGTAGCACAGCACAAAGTACAGAAAACATACATAAAATCAGTAGCCTTGGAGACATGAGACAGCAGAATCACAGAACAGCCCTTATCTGCTCCCCGCTCCCCCAACTTCCTGTTGGGGAACCCAGAAAAGGCTTCCTGACACTAACAGGGTGCCGTGGAAGGAGACACACTGTCTCCCTCACTCTGCCCAAAGTCCTCTTATTTACCACGACACCTGTTTCTTTAGCACCAGCTGTTGAGTTCACGATAACCCTTAGCAAGACGGGGTGACAGGACCATTCTCCCAAGAGACAGACCTGAACATACAAGGAAAGGCCAGTCTTCCCCTGTCCGAGGTAACGTCCAAGGCTCCCTGACACTTACCGAATGTTGTTTTTTAGCCTTTTGGTACAGTGTGGGCACCGGAAAGATGTGGCGACCTTGGGGAAGTTCGTGAGCTGGGCCACTTTGCCGCCATCCCGTCCGTAGTAGAAGTCATCGACCAGCATGATGAGCTTGGTCTGGGCAGCGTCGCCCACGGCCTCGTTCGGCTCTGGTGCTTTGGCAGGTGGGGACAGCGCAGGGATTGGTGTCGAAGACGGCGTGGAAGCAACAGGAGTCGTCTTCTCGGGGGATGGGGGCTTCGCTGCCGACGGGACGCTGGGTTCGGAATCCAGAGACTTCCCTTTCTTCTGGTATTCAACCATCTCCGGGCAACAGTACTAGAAAAAAGGAAGACATCCGATCATTCTGGTCACCCTGGGGACGAGGGTGTCTAACCCCCCAGCCTCACCAACATTCCCTGGTAAGTCTGGTTCTAGGTAATCCCGCCAGCTTCCACCCTTCGGTTTCCCAGTGTCCCCCAGTCTCTCTCTTTCTAGTGTGTATGGATACAGACATTCGCCATCCGAACGCCGTACCTTACACTTCTCCCTCCTGCCTCAGCTCCTTAACCACTCACTAGCATAACCTGGCTCCGAGCCCCCTGCGGAAGCTCCGACCTCTGCATCCAGACTAAAAGCAAAAAGGCCAGAAATGGAATCGGGCTAACGGCTCCCGATTCAGTCAATGACACGGCGAGTAGAAAATGAACTGAGGCCAACTTGGTTTGAGTTCCAATTATCTCATGAACCTGGCCCCAGGGCGGTTCGAAAATCTACAACCAAGAAATTAAGACTATATGGGTTCTGATGAATCTGAGGGTCTTTACACGCATCCTATCACGATCCGAAGGGCATCACTCTTCTAAGACAACCCCAAAGAGAAAGTGACCCTTTAGAAAGCTTCCGAGCCGGTCTGGGGCCCGCTTCGCAGTGAGTGGGTGCAGCCTCCGCGGGCGGGACCACTTACACACATGTGCCCTCTCAGAGCTTCGGTCACGCGGAACTGAGCGCTGCATCGTGGGCATATCTTCCGCCCGCCGTCTTGGAGGTCAAACACGGGGACAGAAGAGGTCACTGGAAGAAATGAGAAGCATTGATGAGATTAATAAGGTACTGGACAAGGGTTACTGGCCTTCTGGGAAAGGGTGCACACTCCCTGGGAGGCACATCGCGGTTGGTGAACAAGCCTGAGAGACAACAGGGAGGCAGGCGCCTGCCCTGCTCCTCTAACTCAAGGCCAAGGTCAGCAAACCAAGGCTCATAGGCCAAAGCCAGCCAGCCGCCAGTTTCTGTATGGCCTATGAGCCAAGAGTAGCTTTATTTTTTTGCTGTTAGTTTTTTCTTTAATTGTGCTTAAATTACATAATATACAGTTTATATCTTAACCAATTCTAAGTGTACAGTCCGGCTGTGTTACGTAGGCACCTAGCTGTGCCAGCAGTTGCCAGAAGTCTTTTCATCTGCAATACTGACACCCATTAAACGACTCTCCACCTCCTGTCCCCACAACCACCATTCTACTCTGTCTCTCTATGAATTTGACTGTTCAAGGTACTTCATTCAAGTGGATCACAGAGTACTTGTCCTTTAGTGACCAGATCACTTAGCATAGCATAATGTCCTTGAGGTCGTGAATGCTGTAGCATGTGTCAGAATCTCCTTTTTAGGCTGAACAATACACCATCGTGTGTACACGTACTACATTTTGTTTATCCATTCATAGGTTGATGGATATTTGGGATGCTTCCACCTTCTGGCTATTACAGATAATGCTACGAACAGGGGCGTGCAAGTATCTGTTTGGGTCCCTGCTTTCCATTCTTGGGTATATACCCAGAAGGGGAACTGCTGGGTCACATGGTAGCTTTATGTTTACTGTTTTGTAGTAAATAGAAATATCAGTAGTAAAAATCATGCCATTGGATATTCCCACCACCAGCACTGCACAAGGGTTTCGGTTTTTCCACATCTCTGCCAACACCCGTTACTGTCTTTTGGGTAACGGCCATCCTAACGGGTGTGAGGTGGCAGCTCACTGTGGTTTTGATTTCCATTTCCCCAATTATTAGTGATATTTAGCATCTTTTCATGGACTTAATGGCCATCTGTACAGTATATCTTCTTTGGAGAAATGTCTATTCAACTCCTTTGCCCATTTTTAAAGTGGGTTGTTTGTTCTGTTGTTGAGCTGTAGAAGTTCTTTATATATTCTGGCTACTAACCCCTCATCAGATACGTGGTTTGCAATATTTTCTCCCTTTCAGTGGGCTGCCTTTTCAGTGTCCTTTGATGCCCTAAAGATTTTAATTTCGATGGAGTCTTGTTTATCTATTTTTTCTTTTGTTGCCCGTGTTTCTGGTGTCACATGCAAGAAATCATTGCCAAATCCAATGTCATGAAGCTTTCCCCCTGTGTTTTCTTCTAAGTTTCAGAGTTTTAGCTCTTATGTTTAGGTCTTTGATTCACTGAGTTAATTTTTATATATGGTAATTAAGGGTCCAACTTCATTTTTTTTTCATGTGGATATCCAGTTTTCCCAACACCATTTGTTACAGGTTTTTAAGTTTTAAATGGTTGAAAGAAAAGCAAAAGAGTAAGATCTTCTGACACATAAAAATTATATGAAATTCAAAATTCGGAGTCCGTAAGTAGCTCTGGTGGAGCGCGGTCAGGCTCATTCATTTACACACTGTCTGTGGCGGCTGGTGCATCCCAGCGGCAAAGCTGAGGAGCTGTAACACAGATCTTATTGTGCACATGGTGCTTTACAGAAAGGTTTGCCGACCCCGATATAGACTGTTGAAAATGCTCACGCTCATTACATCCTTCTATACCCGAAAACCGTTCCACCAAATTCCGCCTTTAAAACCTTGTTTGGATATCCACTTCCTCCACGAAGCCATCCTTTGACTGCCCCACCCATACCCGATCAATCCATTCATTCCACTGATCTGCAAAGCACGACTGCAGAATTCCTTGGAGGTGACTCAGTTATTCTGTCCACAAGCGGCTATCCCCTTCACTAAAGTTTCTGTTGAGAACAGATTGTAGCGACTATGTCTTATTTGATTCCTCTACGCCACAGTAGAGTTCTGACACAACATGTATTAATGTTTCTAAATGACCGGCTGCTCAGAGTCTTTCAGGTTATTGTACCTTTCATTGAAGACTCAGGTCCGCTGGTTCTCTGAGAGCCATGGGCAGAGCTGTTGTTGGACACCACCATCGGCCCGGGACTCTGGCCCAGGGAAGGGATGGTGTTAAGGGTATTCACCAGTTTGGCCACTTCATTGCTATTTTCACCTGTAACCCCAGGTCGCTTCACAGTGACAAAGCTGGTAATGCTCACTGCAGGTGGAGAGGGGAAGGAGGGAGCTATGTTGGCCAAGTGATAATCGCCTGTTCTCCGCCCACCACCCGTCCCAGCTCTGCCATCTCCCCTTCCCACGCCTCACCTAGCTTGGGATTCGGGGTCTGGTTGGACTGGCCCGGAGGCTGGACGGCTAGCTGCCCCAGCGAGGTGGGTGGCGTGGCGGTGGGGGTGGTGGAAGTACTGGGAGTGGACTTGGTCTGCTGGGCCTGGGACTGCGGGACGGTGCTCCGAATGGTGAGCGTGGCTGGGATGACGGTGGTGAAGGTGTTGGTGGTGGGTCGCACGGGCATCGTGGAGCCGGGTCTCACGGGGGCCATCTGAGAGAACACCTGGGGGACTCCCACTGTCGGCTTCACAAACTGGGTACCTGGGGCTTCGAAAGAGAGACAAACAAAAGTACCAAATCTTGGTCAAGAAGCTCACCTGTAATACATTCCCCCATCCTTACTGGAAATATTGGAATAGGAAAAGATTATTTCCCCAAATGGATTGGCGGCCTCATTGGAAGTTGCCAAGAGTAGCATGGATGCTGATATCTAAGAAAGTAACTGGTGTCCAAGCCGGCAAAAGCAATTAGCTTAGATATCCAGCCCTGAAAACATTCAACTGAAGAAAAAAGATACCCATCGACTCCTCCCCAAACACCTCCCCACGCTGCCTTTTCTATACTACGAATGCAGTCAGGAGTAGCTTGACCTTGGTACTGGAAGAGAAAGAATGGGTATAGAGCAGGAGGTAGTACGGGTATGCACGAGCCCAAAGGACGGACTTGGTCCTGAAAAAAGCAATCTTTCCCTCTCAGAATACTAAAGGAGTCTTCCATTCTCTTACGTAAACTCAAATAGAAGACCAACTACGCAACTCTACTAGGCTCTCCCAAAGACGAGAGTCTCCTGGCTCAGCTATAGACAATTCCACTGACATTTATGTAAGAAATATCAGAACTAGGTAGCATAAGCTCAACAGGCCAAAGGCCAAAAAAAAAACAACCCCCAAACAAAAACACCCTGTGGGCTCTGAGAACAACAAAAAATTGAGGAGGACAAGCTACAGAGACACCCTTACAACAACTAAACTAAGATATTGCTCTGAATTGTGGTAAACTTAGACACTAAATAAAAAGCTAAGGGGAAATTACAAAATTTTTAAAGAATGACCTTTCACTTCAGTTTCTTAAAAAAAAAAAAATACTAGTCATTGGCAATATTTATCCTCAAAAGATATATCATTTGGTTAATTTATATCCAAAATCTATGCCATAAAATTAAAGCAATTTAAGTTTATAATCCCACTATGTATACAAGTAGAATTATAAGGAATACAGAATTTTCAAGATTGCATTAATAACATCCCTTCAAGATAAAAACTTAAATGCTGATTAAAACATGAGAAGCAAAAAAATGACTATATAAACCTGTTTTATTACCTCATGAAGGGTGGTAAAAAGTTAAAAAAATATATAAATCAAACCACCACCCTGGCCAAAGGTTAGAAACAGTTTTCAAAAAGCTGGGCTTAAATACACTTTGTAAATGACCTAGAGTACTTTGAGACAATAAAAACAAATCTGGATGCAGGTTTATTCCACGTGGACAGACATTTTTCCTTACCTGGGACTAGTGTGATTGGTCTAACCGTTTGGCCTTGCTGTACGTTCAGCACAATCCCAACCTGATTCATTGCATTTTGTACAGGTCGGACATTTCTTACAGGAAATCCCTGCATTAAAAAGCAAAATGATCTTTAACATGGAGACCCGCTAATGCTAGCAGAGACTGCAGTGAGACCCACATCCAAAAAAATCCCCACGCCTTTATCTAATGGTTCCTTCTCTAGAAAGAGAGCTTTTAAATGACTGAGATGGAGAAATTTAGGAATTCTAGCAAACTTCCGAGTGATAAAATACCAAAATGGAGAATAAGCTTTGGTGCATTATGAACAAAAATGAAAACCTACTTCCTGTCTTAAGAAAACCTCAGCTTAAAAATCTCATCCAAAGACTGCCCTGTAAACTGCGAAACACGTAGAAGTTAAAAAAACCCCGACACTAATGACATTCACTGCGGTGACTCAACATACTGCCTTGCACCCTGTGTTCGGCAGCGGGCTTCCCACTTCGACTCACCTCGCACGGCGAGTAAGTCATCCGTCTGCCTTCTCCAAAGATCTGCCTGCACTTTACCGATTTCATACACATTTTCCAGAAATCAACTAATTCACCCCATTTTAAGAAAAACAGCCCAAGCAAAGGGTGAGACGCCTTGAGGGCCAAGGGTGAAGCTTTTCCACTAAGTTCCGCCCAAATCTCATCAAATCACTTCACAGCCCTCCAAGGGGCATAAAGGAAACGCCCCAGCTGCACGCTAGGCTTTCTGCAAGTCAGCATCACCTTACGAAGCAGAGGACAAGGCCAGGTAAAAACAGGACTTGGAGCCACTTCCAACGGTGTTAAAGGCTCTGAGGCAGAGCCTCCAGGGTTCACGTGATCTTTTTCGCCTCCCTACCAAGGCCCAGCACCCGTCCCACTCACCTGTGTGGTGATGAATATTGGCTGCGAGGCCACAGGGGAGCTAGTCACGTGATTGGCATTCTGCATGACCTGGACAGGCCTCAATACTGGTTGACTAACCATTGTGCCCAGACCCGGGGCTGGATTCTGGGTTAGGATGAGTGGCTGTCCACCTTGCTGGACCAAAGAATTGCCAGCTAAAGAGTAAAAGAGAGAGAAAAAAAGGAATGTAAGAGAAAAGAAACTCACATTTGATAAGAAACATGATCTTAGATAAGAAATGGTGTCCCAGATACCAAAATATCCAAGACTGTCACTCACCTCAGGTTTAATGTCACCAAATTCACCAAAAATTTAAGCTTCACCCAAATCTACAACTAACAGAAAAACAGGTAGGTAGGGGAGGTTCACTAACATCCCCCCTAGGCATCTTAACCAGGCATGTCTTAACACAGTAAGACTTCTACGTGGCTGTCACTCTGACTAATTATTTAAGTGTGCACGCATCATCTCCCATACCAAAACAGCGAAACAAAATAACGTTTCTTTTTCCTGAAAAAAAAAAAGAAAAAGTTCTTTTGTCTTAAAAAAAACAAAGACACTATATTTTAACCTATTCTGTCAGAATGTAATTTGCTGCTGATGCACCCTAACCTTTTTACAAAGAACATTCATCAAGAACATTAATTCGGCAAATACATAGAATTTAAACAATGACATCTCTTCTGAGAGTGTCAAATCTCAGAAATGCAAGACTAAACCACCATTGCCTTGTACAGGCACGGAACACAGAGACAGGCCAACTACCTTCTCCCTCTGCCGTTAAGACTGATGAGGAAAAGTCCTGGTCAAAAACTAATCAACGCCAAGTAAAAATGACATGATTTCAAGAGATAATGACTCAGTCATGAATATTAATATAATAAATACTAATAACCTGGGCTAATTGTTACTGAAATATTTTAAGTTCTTTTTCATTTGTGAGAAAAGCAATTTTGTATATGTTTTTAAGTCCTCTACTACACTTGACTAAAAAATCCTTAATATTACGTTTCCTAATTTACAAAGAATATTGCAAAACTAGATAGAAGACATGGTTCCATAGTGTAGAAGTTAACACGTCTGCTTTATACGCAGAAGGTCCTGGGTTTGCGCCCCAGTGGAGCCACGGTCCATGGTCTACAGCCATGCCACCCTGAACAAGCCCGATCCCGTCTGATCTCAGAAGCTAAGCAGGGTTGGGCCTGGTTAGTACTTGGATGGGAGGCCACCTAGGAAGACCAGGTGCTATAGACAATAATAATAAATAAAATAATAATAAAACAAAAACTAGATAGAAAATTTCAGGGAGCCAAACAATATACCTGAATCAAAGATTAAAACGAAACACTGCCTCAACTTTACCTCAATTCACAATGGGATGATCTCCTCTGAACGGTATGCTCTCCTTGACAGACGGAGTCACGGCCGTCAGCTGCCAATTTAATTAGACCAGCAGAGTGGCTATGCAGGTGGCTATTAATGGGCCAACAGTGGCTTCTCCCATATTCTCCCAGAAACTGGGAGCCCATTGGTGGACCAGACCCTCATAGTTACTGAGCCAGCAGACTAGAAATTGAGGCTGACAGATTAACAAAAAATTCCAAGTTCTATCTATGCTAACTATGCTGACAATTTATTGACTACACAGATTTTAAATTTAAGTATTTTATTATGGATAAGTTATAAGAAATATATATAATTAGAACACTAAAATGAATCCCCATGTACCCAACACCGCACCAAGTTTCAACAATTATCAACTTATGGCATATCTTGTTTCATCGGCACCTCCCACCCACTTACTAGTTCCCATGTCATTGTGAAACAAGTTCCAGATCATATCATTTCATCTATAAATTTCATTATGTCTCTAAAAGAACTTAAAAAAAAAGTGTCAACACCATTATCGTGCCTAAAAATATAATAATTCTGTGACTATAGGTGATAACACTGTATTATAGAAGTGAAATTTGCTGAGTAGGACTTAAATGTTCTCACTCCCCCACCAAGGTCAGTATATGAGGTGATGGATGTGTTAATTAACTAGACGGCAGGCATCCTTCCACAATATAGATCAAATCACTATGTACACTTCAATCTTACAATTATATTTGTTCATTATATTCAATAAAGTTAAATGTGTAAATACTCTTTAATATCAAATACCAAGTTAGAATTCAAACTGACTGTCAATGATTTTTTAAAAGAGTTTGTTTGAAACGGGTTATAAAAGGTTCACTACAGATATGCAACTGAAAGACCTCTCTCTTAAGTCTCTTTTAATCTATAGGGTCCCTCCCCATCCATCTCTTTCACTCCTTTACAATTTATGGCTGAAAAATATTGACTAAACAAAACCAAATATTTTCCATTCATTAATTTAACTGCCTGGGTAAAAAAAAAAAATGTTATTTATCTAAGACTAAATTCTTAAGATAATCGCTGACTCAACATCTCAACTACATATAGGAAGAAAACGATGGAAATGTTTTGCATTTATGTGAAATCAACCAGCATTAGCAAGTCTGAAAGGCAGGCCTGGTTCCCATATAATCTGCACAAACCCTACTACTATAAAGAATGTCAACCTGAGGATTTTCTGCAAATATTCTGACATCAGGGTCATATTTGAATTTTGGTGGATTGTCAGGGCTTTTCCAAAAACACCGTGCAAACAAAAAAGTGGGTTTCTAAGTCGAAATTAGGTTCACAATTCAACTAAAACCAGCATATGAAAAGTCACATTGGGTAAATTAAAGGATATCTACTTATTTATTATTTTTAATGAATTATTTGAATGAATTTCAATGAATTCTAACAATTCTAATGAATTTTTAAAAATAATTTCTGCATTTTTCTTAATTCTTTCCTCAAAGAAATTGTGACAATTCAAAGGTCACACAAAGTTCTATTTCCAGAGGATGAAAGAGGCAATCAGAACTGGGAGGCTTAAAAAAAGGCTTTAAAAGAATTATCCAACGAATCTCTCGCCTCTAAGTTCACTCTCATGTGTAAGGCTAGGGTACCATAGCCATGAACTGACGAATGAGCAAAGAAGATTCAGAGCGGCTTCTTTCATAGTATGCTGTTCGTTTTACAAATCTGGAGGTCTTGATTTTTTTCCGTTATTAAGTTTACTTACACAGCTTTAAACCCCAGAGATAAGAGGGCTAAAATGGAGTCGAAATGAGCTGAAGTGGACTTGAAAATCATCACTAGTTACGCAGTAAGAAATTATAACGTTAAATACGCATAATTCACAGGTCAGAATTAAGCAGTGGTTTATTTCACTTCATGATTTTTTCCAATGCGAACGTATAATCAGAGCTATAGGAATAGTTTTCTGATGAGGAGTGATAGATTATGAAGAAGAGCAAAAAGAATAGCAAAAATTTTTGAAAAATTTATTCCTGACACATTCTTAAAACAAACATACAGTTTTACTGATATATAATCCATATACCATACATAACACCCATTTAAAGGGTACAATTAAAAAAATAAATAAAAGGTACAATTCAGAGGTTTTTAGTATATTTGCAAGGTTTGTGCAACTATCCCCACTACTTAATTTCAGAACATTTTCATCACCCCCAAAAGAAACCTGCACCCGTCAGCAGTTATTACCCATTCTCCTCTCCTCCAGCCCTGACGGCCACTAATCTACTCTCGTCTCCACGGATTTGCCTATTCTGGACATTTCATACAAATGGAGTCATACAATATGTGGCCTTTCGTACCTAATTTCTTTTGCTTACCATTATGTTTTCAAGTTTCATTCATATTGTAGCATATGTCCGTGTTTCGTCCCTTTTTCTGGCCTGATAATATTGCATTGTAGAGATATAAGATATATACATTTTGTTTATCCATTCAACAGTTTAGGTTGTTTCCACTTTTTGGCTATAAAAAATACTGTTGCTATTAACATCTGTGCACAAGTATTCGTGTTTTCAATTCTCTCGGGTGTATTAAGAATAAAATTGCTAGGTCACATGATCACTCTGCGTTTAACTTTTTGGGAAACTGCCAAACTATCTTCCAAAGCAGCCACACCATTTTACATTCTCATCAGCAACACGAGAGTTCCGATTTCTCCACGTTATCACCAATACTTGTTATTGATCACCTTTTGGATTCCAGCCATCCTAGTGGGTATGAAGTGGTATCTCCTTGTGTTTTTGATAAGCATTTCCCTTAGTAACTAATGATGTTGGGCACCTTTTCATGTGCTTATTGGCCATTTATATATCTTCTTTGGAGAAATGCCTATTCAGATCCTTTACCATTTAAAAATTGGATTGTCTTTTTTATTACTGGATTGTACTAGTTCTTTATATATTCCAGATACGAGTCCCTTATTGAATATATTATTTGCAAAATTTTTCTCCCATTCTACGGGTTATATGTTTTCACTTTCTTGATTGTGCCCTTTGAAGCATAAAAGGTTTTAATTTTTATAAAGTTAAATTTATCTAATTTTTCTGTAGTTTCTTATGCTTTGGTGCCCCATCTAAGAAGCCAATGCCTAAGCAAAGGTCATAAAGACTTACACCTGTGTTTGCTTCTAAGCGTTTTACAGTTACATAGCTTTAGCTCTTACATTTAGGTCTTTGACCATCTACAGTTAATGTCTGTATATGATATGAGGTACAGGCGGCACTTCACTTTTTTTCGATGTGGAAAAAGTATCCAGTTGTCCTAGTATCATTTGTTTTAAAAAATGTATTCTTTCTCCATTGTATAAGAAAAAATTAGATTGTTTTTCTTTTAACCAACTATCACTCTCCATGAAACAAAAGGTATTTTGGAGTCTAGGACAAAATTGTGTCCACCCCTCGCATTCCATTTATTCTTTTAAAATAATATTCATCTTAAATATATTTTAACATTTGATCCATAAATATGTTAAATAAATTTAAGTTATGAAGTTTACCAATAAAACGAACACCACCCCATCTAGGACCAGGCCATTATCAACAATATTAACATACTCCCACTCTTTCAAAAAAAAATGGCTCCCCTCACATATACAAAAATGTTCCTTAAAACCAAGAGTCCAGTAAATGCTTTTTCACATAGAAGGGCAAGGTAAATAAGAAAAACATGTAAATTATAAAAACCAGTCAATGCCCCCAAAAGGGACAGTCTTTTAAACCTAGTGCAGTAAGTGAAGCATTATTAAATTGCTCAAAAGTTATTCTCCCTTGCTATGTTATTAATGTAATAAGTAGACAATACACAAATACAATCAAACTGAAAGCTTATAGGGGAACTGGGCTGTAACAGAATATTTTTTATCCACTCTTGTGAAATCTTAACCCTACATCTTATTCCTATGCTAGCATTCCCAGAGTTTCTTATTAGAAAGTTATAGAATTTTATGTATATACCAAAAAAAAAGGGCTAGAAAAACTAAACCTATTAATGTGTGCTTATCAATGCATGAACAGGTTTTAGAAAAATAGACAAATGTAACTAGTTACCAGTCCATACCCATTTTTTTCCAACCATAAACTTGAGTTAACGTTTTCTTTTGCATACTAGAGGTTTCTGAAATAAATAAAATCAATTTACTTATACTGTATATTTAAAAATTTGTACACAGGCCTTAAGAAGGGAAAAGAATCGCATCCATTCAAAGAGCCAAGGAGACTAAGTCATGTCCGCATGTCACAAGATGCTCATCGGGGCCGTGGGACCCTCAGATCAGAGAAGTTTAACTAAACTGGTTGCTAAGAGAACTTTGATAGATTATTTTAAGAAAAACCATGGAAAGCAGTAAGTAAAATACAGTGGAAAGGCCACAAGCTTTGAAGTCTAGATCATTCAAATCCATTTTGGTCACGTACCAACTATCTGACCTTTAAGCAAATTTAGACTCCCTAGGCCTTGGTTTCCACATCAATAAAAATGAGAGAATTCTCTAGATAGTGGTGCCTCATCTTTATACATGAAGGCCTTCATTTATAAGTTTGAAAAAATTCTAAAGGTTCTCACATGATAAAAATCATATTTTCAGGACCCAAAGATTGAAAAAAATACCTATGGAAATTATAAAGATTTACTTTTGATAGTACTTAAAGCTGGCAACAACATTAGGAAAGAGATACTGGTGGGCACCTTTTCAGAGCCACCTGTTAGGGCCATCTGACACTGTCTATCAGTCTTTGAACACCTGACCCAGCTGTCTCACTTTTATGCTGCAGATACGCTTATCTAGTGAGTGATACAATGCCCGAGAATGTTCACTATATAAGTCTGTGATCACAACAAATTGGGGCTGTGATAAACGTCCAATGATAGGGGAATAAGTGGCTATATCCAAAATAAGAACACCATATGCAATTTGGAAATATAAACTGATACGACACTTCTAGATGGCCAATCCAAAAAAAAAATATTGATCGAAATCCTTAAAATTGTGATGACCTTGGATCCAAAAACTTGACATTTAGTTCTGTATTCTCAGAATTAAAGATGTGACACAAGACAGGGACAGAGATGTTCACGACAGCTCTTTAAAATAACAGCATACCCTTTTACAACCTATTGTTAATAACAGTTAATCAAACAACAGGAAATATAGTTGGTCATCAGAAAGATAAATATTTAGAAAAATGAGAAGATATTCACTACATATCGAAGAAAAAAGGAGGCAAAGAGTGATATAGTCTGTATGATTCATTTTTGTAAAAAATAAATCTCCACATGTACATGAAGAAGTTTATAAAAGTACATGTATGCAGTGGCCAGGACATGGAAGCAACTGACGTGTCCTACGATAGATGACTGGCTAAAGAAGCTGTGGTACATACATACAATGGAATATCAGCCGTAAGAAGAGATGAGATACTGCCATTTGCGACAACATGGATGGACCGTGAGATAATCATGCTAAGTGAAATAAGCCAGACAGAAAAAGTTGAAAATCACATAGTATCATTTATATGTGGGATATAAACCTAAAAGCAACAAATGAACAAGAGAAACAAACAGAGACTCAGGGACATGGACAATGGACTAGTGGTTACCAGAGGGTAGGGGGTGGGGGAGGAGGGGAGAGGTAGACGGGATAAAGGGAGTCAAATATAGGGGGTTGGGGAGGTGAAGTGGGTAAAGGGGATCAAATATATGGTAGCTGAAGGAAACTGGACTTTGGGTGGTAATCACAA